AAGGTGCGATCCCGAAAAAGATCCTGAGACCGGGACGAGTGGACGATTACAATGCTACAAAGTGAGATTTTTCATTTCTTGCACCCTAAGCAGATTGCAGCATTCAGGTTTGATCGCGGAAGTGCAGACTGGCAAGGTATGAAGGAGTTTTGCATGTTCATTCCACATATGATCGCATTCTTTGCTCTCACATCTTTAGCCAAATTAGATGACATCGGACCCACACTACCAACTGGTAAAGGTAAGAAATGTATACGACTTAATGGACCGAAACATTTCTTTTACCTACTTTAATAATTCTTTACAACCCTTTCATCGTTTTTTGCTCGAATTTTCTCTCCAACCGTAAATAGTCATTAGTTCACTGCAAGCACAGGCTCACTTGGCTAGCTTGATGCGTTTAGCTTACGAATAAAACTGAATTCAGATTCAGTACTGCAGAAGCTGAGAGCCTGAAATTTTGGGTCGGATCATGTGCAGGGCGGCAAATTTGAAATTAACTCACATTTTTTTGTTTCTCTGCATATCTCCCGATCGTAACATGCATTTCTTTTATGCAACATTGCTTTAACTGCACAAACAACTTCACTCATCAGCTGTATTACACAAATTTTGCAGATTTTCGCGCCCGATGGTTTCGAGCTTATCGATTGTCATGAATGCAGCACCGGATTTGGAACTGTATGCGAAGAGTTTGCCGGAACCAACATCTGGGCATGTGGGACCGTTTGTGCAGGGAATCCATCGAATACGCGACGACGAAGATGGCGATGCGCCGCATAAGAAGAAATACGCCAAAGAGTCATGGCCGGGCAGAAAACCGAATCAGAGTCGAGTTTTAGCTTGATTGTTAGACATCACTGTGATATGTCCGCAAAATCGAGAAGTAGCCTAGCAGACCCGTCCAAAAAATCAATCCAAAATGACCTTGATTCCAAGACCAGAGCAGGAGAAGGATGTATTATTAGCGAAATTCTGTTGCTGGAAAAGGATGAAAAGGAAAAAATTTATGATTCCCTGACTCGTTTTTTGGGCAAATTGGTGCATGTATGGGCAAATTGGTGCATACTGAGCATATATCTATTTTCTGGCGCTGTGCGAGCACCGCATATGTAATAAATGTTGGAAAGAGTAGCATTACTGCTGGCAAAGTGCAGTGACATAATAATAAATGAAGTAAAATAGGGGTTGGAAGGAAGCATGTGGCAGGGGCATGTCAGACCGGTTACTCGTTTTTAAGATTGCTAGGTTTATTCCGATCAGCTAGCTGATAGAAATGAGAAGTGTTTTATTATCGTATGCCTTTTGTCCTTCA